CGGAATCACCTTTTGTCTCAATGGTGGTGTGGGGGGTCGAGTCGGGATATTCCTACAGCTCCTCTTTCCTTTGGATACACTTGTGAAGAGTCATATCTATCTTTCGATTCATGATCCTAAATCATCAGCTATTAGTTGCCTTAGGATTTGAGTATAGAATCTGTATAGATGATCTTCAGGGTGGGCTNAATAGCTGTGTTTCCGCGTCACCGGAATCACCTTTTGTCTCAATGGTGGTGTGGGGGGTCGAGTCGGGATATTCCTACAGCTCCTTTTTCCTTTGGATACACTTGTGAAGAGTCATATCTTTCGATTCATGATCCTAAATCATCAGCTATTAGTAGCCTTAGTATTTGAGTATAGAATCTGTATAGATGATCTTCANCTCAGACCTGTAGCAGACCCGCTTCTGCAATAACAAGCAACCTTCCCATCTCAACGTGCTCGTGGACAAGAGTGTCTACGGCAGAATCTACATCTACTACATCTAGGAGGCAAACCACCGTCGGGTGGGCATTCCTTTAAACTAGTCCATTCCGGTTCTGTCTTTCGTACTCTACCGTTCACACCTTCATCTCGCTACTGTCAAGGAACCTCAGCATTTCTTCCCCGTGTTTGTTCGTGGCTCCCTCCCCGTATTGCCCGATGGCTCCGTGTGGGTTCGTGGTTCGCCCGATTCTTGAATTGAAGTCCCCGACTAAAATTACTTCTCCCTTTCTCTTGAAGTTTTGTACATCCGCTGCTACCTCCTCGAACCCTATCTTGATGTCCTTCACCATATTCTTCGACTCTGGTGGTATATATACATTTCCTACGAACAAGTCCTTCCTTCCCCGTTCCCCTGGTACCCTTATCCACATGCTTTCGTTGAATTTGGTGTCGCTATCACCTCATTACGTCGCACATGTGCTCCGTGACAAAGAATCCAACTCCCCCCTCCCCTCCACTACATACTCTTGATTTTATGTCCTCTCCGCATTTTACCTATCCATGTGTAGCTTCCCACTTCTTTTCCTATTTCTCCCCCGTCCTTCTCCCACGACTCTTGGACTCCGACTATGTCCAGGTCTTTTTCGGCTGCTTGCTCGGCAATTTCGAGTCTTTTACGCTCATCTGNTCCACTGGTACCCTTATCCACATGCTTTCGTTGAATTTGGTGTCGCTATCACCTCATTACGTCGCACATGTGCTCCGTGACAAAGAATCCAACTCCCCCCTCCCCTCCACTACATACTCTTGATTTTATGTCCTCTCCGCATTTTACCTATCCATGTGTAGCTTCCCACTTCTTTTCCTATTTCTTCCCCGTCCTTCTCCCACGACTCTTGGACTCAGACTATGTCCAGGTCTTTTTCGGCTGCTTGCTCGGCATCTGTGGCAAACCCGCATTAACAACATATTCGCCTGATTGAGAGCGTAGCATCTGATTGAGAGCGAGATTGCGCGATACGCTGTAGCCGGACTACCACTGAGAGGTGGAGCTTGCTGTGTAGCTTGAATTGAAGGGCTAGCCCGTAGCTTCAAGCCGCTACCCTGGTCATCCTGCGGAAGTCTCTCGTTGTGGAGCTACAGCGGGGAGCAGAAGCTACAGCAGAGCCCACCGCCCGACGCGATACCGCCCTGAAACAGTTTGAGCAGAAATAGCCAATCTGGGCAAATCTAGCAACTTGTCTAGCTCCTCGCTGCAGCATCCGATGANGAATGCATGCATGCATATATTGGAATGCATGCCATGCATTCCAAGACCCTAGTCTGATTTCTTTACTCCTACTTTCTACTTTCCCGTGCCTTTCAGGATTCCTTCTGTCCCTCGTT